GCATGTTTAATGTACATGCGATAATTTTTATACAATAACTCTCACACAAATATTATTAATATTTTTCTAATGAATGTATTATCAAAACAACCCAATATTAAAAACAATATTGGGTTGTGAAGAACTTCTTTGCTAAACACTTTTCTAGTATTTGTGTTAACTTTTATTTATAAATAATTTAAATTTTAAATATGTGTTTTAAATATATTCTACATTTACTATCAATAATTTCACTTTACTAGGTTTTTTACCCATAAATATATACATATATACATATACATATTTTATCAGTTTTCCAAATTTCCACGAAATGACACTTATTTAATCAAACTTAATTTGTTATAATTTAGTTATAAAAACGTGTTTTCAAAATTCCCTGTATTCTCTCAAAAATAACATTAAAATCTAAGGTCAATGGACAGAAATATGTTGTATTATATTTAACCTAAATACACTATTAAATTAAATTATATTGTATGAACAATTTTATTGGTCTTAAAAAATTAAAGAAATTCGTTTAAATTGAAATTAAATTTATGATATAAAAATATTGATGATGATAAAAATTGTTCACCCTTACCGGTGATACCTCCAGTTTCAGTACCTTTCGTTATTATTGTTTTACTGAAAATTGAAGATTGTGTTTATGTGTATTTAAATAAACACATTTAAGTCAAAAATTTTTTTTTTAAATTTAAAAACGGATAAATTTTAACTTAAATTAGTATTATTAAGCCTTTACAAACCTCAATTGTCATTGATAAAAGAATCTTTGTTTGGCTAGAAAATAGCGACAAGTTATTAAAACAACATATTTCAAAAAAAAAAAAAAAATAATAAGCGACTGGTCAGATATTTAAATTTATGACAATAATTTATATGATATTAATTGTATCATTAAATTATAGATAATTAAATTAGTACATGTATTGGTATTAATAAATTAGAAAACTAAAGCTAATTTAATTTTAATTTATTGCTTAAAACTTTTAAAAATATTAAAATATTTCTCGTTTAACAATAACACGTTAATAAAAAAATTACATATTTTAATATGGAATTTAATTTCTGATTTTTCACTCATCAAACGTCTTAACATATTACTAATATCAGTGTTTTTATATTCTAAAATTGTATTAACTTTTTAGAGTTCCAATAATTTTGTAATTGGACAATGATTTATTTAAAAAAAAAATTAGAACACAGAACATATGATTAAACTGCTTGATGAAAAAATAAAAAGGTTAAACGTTGACCTGTTGCTTTTCCTCTAGTATAAGTAACATTACAAAGGTTGTTCCTTTTTACTTTCACTCACTTCTCTTTTTAGTTTTTTGATCTATTTAGGTTTCATCCGGCTTAACTGGCTAAAAAAAATAAACTTGCCTAAATTTGTTGTTCTTTTCGAGAAGCTTGGCACGCAACGAGTGAAATGTATGTCGTAAATCAAATTGAATACGCCAGGAAAAAAAAAAAATAAGGTATATAAGGTTCAGAAAGAGCTTTTAAACCTTGCAGTCTTTAAAAATCCAGACTTCTAGTTTATTAGTTGATTTATTAGAACACAGCGCAATTTTTTTCCAGTTAACTTTTGTTTTACTTTTTATACATTGAAATATAAGACAGCCATGAATTTGAACTTTAGAATTTGATGAGACATATTTAAAGTTTTGAATAAAATGTTTCATAATCATAATAATGTAATGATTATTATTGGGTTATTTTTTCTTTTATGAAAATTTGATTTTCAATTATAAACTTTAAAATAAAATCCACAACCAATAATTATATATTATATCTAAATTATATTTTAAGAAATACTATATGGTGGTAGTCTTATAGAAACTATAAATAATTGTTAAACATATGAATTTCAATAGTTTTGATTCAGAAAAGAGTTAAATTATTCTTAAATTATAATATAAAGATTTTTTCCTGAGAACATTTTTTGAAGAATTACAGTTAATTACATTTGATGAAAAACAATTGTCAATATCATAATGATTTATTGATTTTATTAAGTTTTTCTAGAATTTTTTATTTGCCGTTTCCAATTAAAAAAAAATGTTATATATTTTTCTTTAAAATGTAATAAATTTATATTCATGGTTGTATTATTAATGAAGTTATAAAAAAATATTTGTAACTTATGTTATATTGTAACTATATTTTCTTCTATTAAAAAAATTCATTCTTTAAAACTGCGTTTTTATAAACACTACCATAAAAGTTTCTTCAGAGAATTTTACGAAAATAGAAAATAATAATATTTACTCGTATTTTTTTTTTTTAGAATACTCGGTAAATGACAACTTCAAATATGATACAACTCGCAGAGAAAAGTTAAGGTTTAAATTACTTATTTAACGATACTTTCAATATAGGAGATCCTTTTAGTTTATCGACAGAGATACATATTACAAAACATTTCATTTTTAGCTTCAATGACAAGTAGGAAATGTCTGTGAGAATATTATTATTATTTTATTTTATTTACAGATTTAATTAATAAAATATTTTTTAACTAAATTTATATACATATAAGTATGCAGTTGAGATTAAATATTTATGTATTTGTAATAAGGTACCAATGTAGGTTATTCTTTTAATATTATACAACTTATAAACTTTGTTATGGATACAATTTAAATTATGATTCCATATCAGCGTATAAACTTATACATATATTATTATCATTATTGATATGCTATACACATGAATAAATTCATTGCACATTATTGTACTTTGTATAATTTTCATAAAATAAACATTTAATTTCATTAAATATAGATAGTTAACTAAATACCAATAAAAAATAATTATTATAGTTATAATTACCAATTAAATTATAATTTTTATTTTATTTTATTCAGTTGATGTTATGACTTAATATACTTCTTTAAATTACTATAATTTGATATGATTAGTCAAATTATTTAAGTAGGATTCTAAACAATATTATCCATCAATACTCAATTGAGTGGTTATTCTATTATAGTCAATATACAAGTTAAACGAGAAAATAATTCCACTTTATATTATAGAAGAATTCAATAAAATAATCAACCAAAATCTGGAAGAGAATTTATTGTATATACCTAATAACTTAAATAATAAACAGAATAATATTCACACGCTATTTAGTTCAATTTCTAAGGCGTTTAACTTTTAAATGGTTCAACAAAACCTATTATTTGATCGAAATTTACATAGATACTCTAAAAGGACATCAAACCTCAAAATAATATACATGTAATGCATAATTCTTTAGGTCAAATATACTAAAAGATATATTGCAAACTATTGGTAAGTAATTTACGAGTATATTAGTATATTATACTGAAAAACATTTTTTTATAAAGAAAAATATTTAATAATAACTTAGGTTTCACAACTTGAAAATAATTATATTATTTTTGAAAATATGTGCAATTATACAGTAATAAATGTATAAAGCTTCAAATAAATTATATAAAATGTTCGGGCCTATTATCCTGTTAATATTATATTAGAACACTCCATAAAAAGCTTATTTTAGTATTTAATAGCTAGATAGTGAAATAATGTTATTTTTTGGATGAAGCTAAGCAACTTTGGAGTTTTTAGGGAACTTAATATAAAAATTCATGAGCACAGATGTTAAAATATTTACATAGATATACGGTGTTTGGTTCGATTTAATAAAGTTGGAATGAAATGGTTCAATGGTTAGACAGATAACAATAATATGCATAATCAAAAAATAATTTTCAACAATTTTTAAAAATTTGAAAAGGTCTGGTTCTATGCGGCTACCATTTTTCGTACTGTCGTTCAATTTTTTTTAAAGAATTTTAGAATACCAAAAGTCTCATTAAAGCCCGGAATAAACCTCAGCTTCAACCCTCCCTTCAATCGCAAACATTATTTGTAGTCAGTTTATGTCCCTTATTAAAAAAGATGGCTAGTATGATGAAAATAGTAATACATATATAAATGAATCATGTCATCTCTTTTGTACTCACTTGTGATATGCATTAAAAAAAAAAAAAAAACTTTAGGGTTGTCTTGATGAATACAAATCAAAGGAAAAAATGAAAACTAAACATAAATATAATGATATTGCTAATATAAGCAGATAAATATTGGAATTAAATTAATTTGATATTGAGAGTAAAATAATAAAGTAAAATGGTTTTTTATGTTTTTTTGACGTTTAATTTATGAACGTGATTTTTATATTTTTATGACCTGATTTCAAAGGAATGATGACGCATTGAAAAAGCTCGATTATTAAAGTACTTAATAATAATACTTGGAACATGATAAAATAAAAAAATAATAAATTGTCTATTATAACTAAGTAGATATTCTAATAAATTTCAATCTGCTCTCCAGAATCAATTTTAATATTAACAAGGTTATTTTGTCTTAAAATGACCTGGTTATACTATAATACGTATATTAAATACCTCAAGAGATAACTGAATACATTTTAAAATATACATAATTTGAAAAAATTCCACTCAAACGATCAATCTACGGGCGGCGATAAAAATGGTTTACTATGAGAAATTTATATATTTAAAAAAAGAGAATTTACAAAGCTCAAATCAACTATGCATTGTTAAATATTTTCATCCTAAAACGTTGTGATTAACATCATTATCGATATACTTTGTTTTTATTTACACGTGCAGTTAATTTTATTGTGTTTATGTTTTATATATTATAAAATACCTATAATTAAATTAAAATTTTTACAATGTATTTGTTATTGTTTCCAAGTATACGAGTAGACAGTTTTAAATATATTTTTATTTTTTTTTAAATTTTAAACTAAAAGTGAAATTCATAGTGTAATATTCAAATAATATAAACACTTGAAATAGCTTTAGTTATATACAATATATTATTCATCTTCATAGCCATTGTATCGATAATTGTTAGAAAATCATAAGAATATGATTCTAGATAAAACAATATTATTTTGTTCTGTGTATAATATTAGTATAACATACCTGGTAAAGAACAAAATATCGGTTCTTCCATCTTCCGCTGTCCGACGCTTTTTTGTGAAGATTTCCGGTGAGTGTGCTATCTGTACGGGCGCGGTCCGACAACATCAGGAGCTGATTGTCTACCACCCGGACACATCTTTGCATCTTCGGGCTCAACATCACTGCTAAAATATAACAGTAAACAAAATTATAATGTATTATTTTTCACAAGGTTAGAACTTTTAGACCATTTGTAAGATATTATATTATTATTATATACATAGAAAATTCAGTCCACGAAATAATCATTATAGTGTTTATTTACGGTTACTTATAAATAATATCATATGAAATATCATGTTATATATATATACATATATTATTTTATATGATTCTAATATTTTTACCATTGCATCTTAATTATCAGTACGCACTTTTCTTTAGTACATTAATAATGCATAATACATGTGTCCTGCACCTATCTATATTATTACATTATAAATTTGACAATTTTTTTTTTATGAATGTTGATTTATAATAAGTTTCCACGTAAATTATTCTTATATCTATTAAAAAATATTTAAAATTTAAAGGCACATTTTTTTTTTTTTAAATGCATTTCAAATTCAAATATATACACAATTCATCAAAATCACAAAAATGTACACATTACAAATATTTAATGCATGATATTTTCAATTTGAACATTTAGTATGATATATCTCACAAGTAGTTCATATTGGAATTGAAAAATCTAAAAAATATTTAAATATATTTATTTTTTTAAACATTAAAAGCTCAAATTTTGATAAAATAACTTATTTAAAAAATAAATAACAATGTTCATTATTTTTTTATAGTTTATAAAGTTTACCCGCGGGAAATTGAAACTTAGAAATATAAAATAAGATTTTTAAATACACAGATTAATTTAAAGATAATAATATACATTTATAGTATGAATTTATTTCTACTATTTTGCAATATTTACAGTAAATTAACTTAACTAGAATGTCAATCACAATAATATAATATGGTATTATATAAATGTATGTATAATTCTAATAATTAAATACTGATAATATAATAAATTAAATATTTTCAGAAAAAACAAATTTACTCACTTTAATATTAATTATAAAATAAATTACTTTAATTATAATGTCAAAAAACATTTTATTATTAAATGCACTTTTAGTGAAATGGCTTGGCAGATTGTTTCCGTTCAGAATTGTTACTCAACACCCTCTATATAACAGAATGGTACCCATGTTTGTCCACTTTTTATTATTATTATTATTGTTATTATTAATTTATCTATTTAATTACCTGTATTAATAATCAGTGCTTGATTTAGAAAAAAAATAGAAGGGGGACTCATCGGATGTTCGATAAACGAGCTTCCACACAAAATTAACCGTCACATTATCATAGGGGCAAATAGAAGGGGTACGCTAAAAAAAATTTAAAAAGAAGGGGGACTCCGTCCCCCCACGCCCCCCCAAATTAAGCACTGTTAATAATAGTATAAAATTAAGTACCTACCTATTATATTATATAGTACGAAAACTACGAGAAACGCGTTTCGATGGGATTATATTTTCAGTTTATTGTCTTTACTTAACAGATACAATAAATTTTGTATGGTTTAAAGAGATTAAAAAAAACTCAAAAGGAAAAATATATTGAGCCCCAATTTTTAAATCCTATAGTAACGTCTATTATATGTTTATGAAGTTTTATAAATGACCTATGAATTGTACTAAAACGTTTATATATTTGGTATATTTTATTTTAACATTTTGCACTAAAATAATTAAATGATAATAATGAGTACTTAATTTTAGTTAATTTAATTTTTTTTCAATTCATCTATTACTTCTTAAGCAGTGAGACGAATATTACATTTTACGATTGTCGTGTAAATTAATTGACAACTGATAAGTGGTAATAATATCGGCGATTAGATGTAACTATACCGTCTATATCTTTTATGTAGGTGTATCATACTTTAAATTATAAAGAGTAAAGTAAGTTTTACTAGACATATCAAATTCGTATATTTTCACTATACGTTATAATTAAATAACTACATTTTTTATATGAACAACTATATTATATTATTGAGGCTTTTATTTTCCAAAAATCAACATTAGTTCACAATATCTTCAAAAAAAAAAAGTCCATGAGGGGGCGTCTGATTTTTTTCTCTGACATCTGACCTCATATTACCTATTTTTATTCCTCCCTTCCATCAATAGATTAGTACCCAAAATATAAATACCGTTAGCTATAATTGAAATATTTTAATAATGTTGTAGTATAAATAATTTAAAAATATTATTTTTAGTATATACTATATTCTTTTATGTAATGAAAATTAAATTAAAAACAATTATTTCTGTTATCTCTACTCAACACTATCGTCCATAATAAAATAAACATTTATGTTGTGTCTTTGAACATTCTAAGATGTATTTGAATTGAAAGAAAATGGTTGGTTATAAGGTATAGGAAATAATATATTTTGAAAGCCATCATGCTGTGTTAAAAAAATAAAATCAATACCTATAATATAGGTGCTTTGCAGTACACAATGTCATGTACAAAACTAATATACATTTCCCGCGTATATACAACCTGTCGTTTCTGCAGAGGCATCGCAAACAAGTGGTGCAAACGAATAATATTGATATTCGCCACCGAAGACGTTACGCAATGATATATCAGGAAATGGCAGTTTAGCACAAAATATATGTAATATATACGTGTATCATATAAATGTGTAACATAACTTATTAGTTATTACTTATTAGGTATGCTTACATGTTTTTTTACACAGATATAACGCGTAAGTATATATATACCAGTTACCAATCCCAGTTGTGCGATTATAATGACGGCGTGGGAAGAACGAAAACAAATACTATATATTATGTATAACCCAGACGTGCACGGTGGAACTGCACAAGTCGACAGCATTTTTAAAAGATTATATAATATCTAAGCACATATATTTGTGTACAATATTAAAGCAATATACTATTAAACTCGTGCACCAACGAAAATAACAACACCGCGTGGTGATATACTGATATAGTGTAGTAGGTATAATAAAATTCTACCGTTTTGCTCACGTCTCGTACGTCATACAATATTAATGATAACATTTTACACTTTCATCGTTTTAACTATTTCAGCAACCCCTATAAGGAAAAGCTTGTGTTCATCAAATTTATATTATAACAATTTACCACCACCGTCGCGAACATAGGTAATAATATTAAAACGTAAGCACTTCTATAACTTCCGGGTGGAAATATTTTCGTGATTGGAAAATAATTAATTAAACAGTTATTTATAATTTATTATTGTATTACGTCGTACGCGGTGACGTAAGCGCGTGTATTATATTATTATGTCGACCGCGAAATTCAAAAATAAATTTCAACAAAGAACATAAAGCTTCAAAAACATCATAATGATATTTTAACACATACCTACCTAACAATACCTCTAATACTACTACTACTACTACTACTAATAATAATAATAATAGTAATAATATGCAATTAAAATATTATACTACTCACCTGTGTGACTAATTGGCACACGTGGTCGACTATGCAATAGGATGCGTCGGTGACGACGACGGTGGCAACCGCGGCCGTATCGTCGTCGGGTTGACAGCCGAAGTGACGACGACCCGGCGGCGGCGGCGGCGGCGGCAGCAGCAGCGACGACGGTGGTGGCTGACGCGATTCGCTGTTGCGTGTGGCGGCGATGGTGGCTGTGGCGCGCGCGGCCGGGTCAGCTCATGACCCTGAGCCGCCGTAGTACGTACTGTTGTCCCTCTTGTCGGTTACGTTGTAATATACTATGTACTATATAATAAAATATATACGTGAGGAGCTCCTCCCGCAAAGGCCCATCGCCGCCGCCGCCGCCGCCCGGTTCGATCGTGCGCCGTGGGGCACCACAGGTGCTTTTGCTAAACGCAGCCTCGTGCCCTTCTTTCGGCGGCATCCCCGTCTATGCCCAAAGTCGGCCCCCTCTTCGATTCACCCTCCCTCCGTCTCGACTACCGTCGCATCTGGCTCACCCGGCGGCATACGATCCTCTCGCCAATGCCGCGACGACCGAGCTGGCGGCGGCGGTGACCTTTTGCGCGCGCGAAGATTGATTCTCCGTTCGCCGCCGCCGCCACGGGTACACACGAACGCATCGCGCGTTATGGTTATATATTAATATAATCGTTATTATTTTGTCGGATGTGCAGTCCATCCGTACACTACGGAGTAATGTCACATCGCGTATACATTATTATAATATTGTTTACACACAAGTAAATGTTAAGCGGGCTAAGTCGTGAGTGCAAGTATACGCGCCTTTCCGGACAAAACGGCGTACAACGCAAGCGCCACACATAATATGATAATTATATACATACCACCCTCTTCCGGTTTGGGCGACATACATGACATACGAGTCCTGTCGCGATTTCGATTTGGAATATTTGGTTAGATACATATTATACTTGTTATCAAAAAATCCGCATATTATCATCCTCCATCACTGACCATTGGCTCTTAACCGTTAACGATTATTAGCCCATCCAGGGTCATTCGAATGTTCGGTTTAGACTAAAAGACTTTATACAATGACACGATTTTAAATATATTATTACATAGTACATCGCGTGACTGAAATCAATGTTGAGTTCAAATAATTTCCCCGGTAGATAACACTTGATTACAAACGTCCACAGTTAATAATTTAATATCATGAACTATGATATATAATATATTATAAAGTTATCGGAAGTCGTGAGGACTGTTGCTCCTGTAACATCGAATACTCCCATAACTCAAATAAATATCAAATTCAAATTAGGTCTAAATTAAATTTAAATGTTTAAAACGAAATAAACAAATCAAAATACTACAATTGCTGTAATCATAATTTAATTCAAAAGTACGTGGATCGTGGTTAAACAATATTAGATATGTCGTTGGAAAAAATTTATTATTAATTAATATCTAAGAAATTTCTGGAGTGATTATAAAAATTTCCTAAAAGTGTGAAGGAGTTAACCAGATAAGACTGTCTTTGAAAAATTGGAATGGAGAAGTTTTTATAAAAACAACCACTAAATTTAGATTGTCTTAGTATATTTCTATAATGTTACTATATGAAGATATTATCCGATCATTGTACCCGATAAACCAAAGGTCATCAACTAATATCTATGAAGGTTTGTTTTGAAACATACTAACTAACTTTCTATGGTTTAAAACACTTTTTATTACTTTATTTTACATTTAAATGATATTATAATGTATTATATCAATAATCAATAATGTCGCAAACCGCGTAAAACTACAAACGTTGAAACGTGTTACATGTACTGGAACTACAAACTTTTTTTTTTTTCTAATAATATAAAAATATAAAAACTATACTATGATTTAATTAGGATTCATAATAAAACGTATCCATACTTCTTTAGTTTAAAAATATTATTTTATTATTATTTATTAGAATAAAATTTCAATCAACATGCTATAAATTATAGATATAATAGCCTATAAAATCTAAATTATTTAATAAATATGAATGTTTGGCTATGGTCATATATTTATTTATTAATAATGTAAAATTTACAATAATATTAAAATATATGCACGCATATTACACTGTTCGTATTATCAGATAAATTTTTTTGTAAAAAATAAATTATATATATATTTCACGAAATAAAATGTACATATTTATTACTTATTTTATTAATAATGATTAGATATATTTATTTAATATTAAGGATTTATTTCTCATTAAGCTCATAGATTTTTTTTTTTTTTTTTTAATAATAATAATCATTGTCATTAGTATTCATAAAAAAACCAATTATTTAAATTAAAAGTATCTAATTGCCCATATAAATCCTATGACCTCAATATTTATAGAATTATACATATTCAACGATAATAATTAAAATTAATTAGAATTACATTATATAATAAATATGTATAATGTACCATGTCTATGTAATATAGTATAAAATATGCATGAAGTATAATTTATTATTTATTTATTTTTTAAATATTTTATATTTAAAAAGTAACCCGTTGCATAAACATTTGTTTTAAGATAATAATTAAGTCCATAATATTATACAGCCTAAAAGTGAGATATTACTGGTAAGTAGACACAAAGTGCATAGACGCAAAGTGCATTAAAATTCACACCCTTAACCTTTTATAAATCGTATAGTAGAACATTTTAAAATTATCTGCATAAAATATTCTTTATTCAATAGTTTAATACACAATTTAAGTAAGTTTTACTTACAAATCTAAAAATTAACTAGGTATCAGAAAATCATTTATACCTATTTTGATTAATCGTATTATTGTTAGATTAATAATTGTATACAATTTATAGGATATATAGGTAAAATTTGGCTCAAAAAACTTACGTATTAAATAAATAAGTTCTGAAAACTAAATTAAAATAAATATATGAATATACTATGATGACTAAGAATAATATCATTGACGCAGATTTTATAGTCATGAAGGTGTATTTTGTAACATAATATTATCAATACATTCTTTATTTTATATAAATTATCACATTATGCATAAATAATACAAAACGTCAACCTCCGAGATAATTAATTAAAATTAAAACTAGAAATACTAAAACTTTAAGGGTAGTAACAAAATCTTCTTTCATTAACTTTGAATTCTGATAGATAGTATTAAACTTATTATATTGGTTACATTGATTGTATTTTTTATTAATACGGGTTTTATCAGCACAGTTTTGAAATATTTTTAAAGCATCACTAGAAAAGTATTTAAAAAAAGAAAGTCTAATTATTTGCTTATATTTAGATTGAGTACTAAAAGATCTATGTATATGAACTAAGTAAATATTATTCTAAATGTATCATATTAAAACGGAAAATAAAAAATTAAACAACATTGGACAAATGTCCCAAAAACATATATTGTTTAAATTTAAATGTAACTTTACTAAGTAAATTAACTTGAATATTTATATCCTACAGCTTTCAGCAGTGTTGGCACTATAACAGATAATGTACATTTATTATTGTGTATATGGCTGACAGAAATACAAAATCAATATATGGTGTCCTCTCAAGAAGTTTTATAAGAGCTATTATTACGTCAATGAAATACTTGATATTTTAATTTTTTGAAACTTGCTGATCAATGTAAATTAATATTCACTCAAAGTGACCTATTTCAAAATATATTTTTTTTTTTTAAATTTCAAACAGTATACAAAAATTGAGTGGAACACCTACACTCATCTCGGCATCTCATTAAAAATCTTTATTTATTATTTATAATTTTTTTTTTACGTATATATATAATATTTTATTTACATATGAGTAATATCACGTATTTTAGATATTTACATAATTTTATAATATGATAATTATATATATAATTTATAATATTAACAATTTTAGAATAGATGTAGTCAATGATAATAAGTATATGAAATTACATTATAATATATAGAAGTTTATATGTAATTATAACTGTTTTATGAATGCCCGTATCATCTAAAAGATATGGTAACACGTACATTGCGGTTATTAATAAATTATTATAAATTTACTATTTTTAAGGTTTTTTTTTTTATTTAATGATGGCATACGTTTTTAAGTTTATACTCAAAAACAGGAATTTCATAAAAAAAATTAAATTTCAAATGATTACTAAGTTATAACATTTAGCAACATACTAGTTCATAATAGGTAAAAAGTATTAAAAAATTCTGTGATAACTAAAGTGAAATTATACAAGGGATTCAGAAAATTATCGATTCTCGATAATCGTATTCGAGATTGTTGAAATGACTTTAAATTATGTAAAAAAAAAATATTTCAAAATAATAAGTTCGACTATTAAAAGTATCACCTTTATATTTTATATAAATATTTTAATGTTCGCTTCTATTTTATTTTCATGATAATGTCATCGTGTTATTATTTTATCATAAATTTGCAAGTAATATAAAATATTATCATATTAGCAACGGTATTCTTTACTTAATATGAAAAAATGAACATAATATAGGTAGGTATTCATGTTGTAAATTTGTAAATTTCGTATATTACAAAAAAAAAAAAAAATTATAATAATAATAATAAGATGAAAAATGCGTAAATACGTATTTTCAAAAAACCATTGAAACATTAACATAACATCGCTAACATCCATTTATAATATCATATTATAGTATTATAGGTACACACCGTTCAGATCTGCGTTTCGCGTACCGACTTATATCTTATACGGTTTTGCGACGAACGGTTTTGTTTTTAAGTCATATTTATTAAACTCTTAATACTACGTTCAAAGTATATGTGGTGTGTAAATATGCGAGTAAACATTTTTGTGATATACCTATATATTTATACAATACATTTCTACAAATATAAATGCCGATATGTAAGTGTTTGTGTATGTGTGTGCATATGTGCCTTGCGGATTATATAATGCGCGTGTCAAGTTCAAAATCGTTCGATATAGTGTAACCCTCTGTTCCATTTCAGTATTCCTCACTTGGCCATCACTATATTTATACAATATATATATATATATATATATATAGGTTACCGGGAGTTTTGCGTTATGGAATTTTGTTTTCCGTATAAACATCCGGTAATTGTAATTGCGTTGGCTGCGTAAAACAACAGTGTACCAAATGAATTATTCAACTACATGGCAAATTGATCAACAGCTTTTGGGTTTCTCTCTGTTATCCTCGCGTA